TGAAGGGTTCCCCCTTCCCCAACAAAAATCCAACAGCTATTGATTTCCCTGCAATATCTTTATTCGGTTTGTCTACAGTAACTTATGTGCTAAGGGAAAACGTCTCAACACAAGCTATGGGGGAGCTGGGCAGCATTCTCAGGCTTTTCCCCAGCTATCCTCGCTATCTTCAGCTCAGATCGTTCTGGAGGTAACAGGTAGCTTGCCTAGGCATTAGGGTGCACAGGGTATGTAGATACGAGGGGGGTGAGGCTGAAGGGGCATGCACTTTTTAACTATCTACAAACAACTAAAAACCCTATAGGAGTGGGGCAGAAACACACCATGCATTTAACTGCCTGTTCCTCCGCTGTAATTTTCCCTGTTGTACAGAGGCACTGAGAAGCATCAATTCCATCTATTCCATTTTGTTCCTTGACAGCATGGGATATTCAGCCTCCTCACTTGTTTTCCACACCATCCATTCCAGTTGTATAAAGAGTAGAGTATAAAGAGTAGAGGCTGAGTACAGCCATTACACACAAGACGATCACACCTAACAAATACACTTGGCCAAGTGTTTTATCACTCACTTTCCCACCCCTATACTGAAAGCACTGAAGAAAAGAGGGCTGAGTGTGAGCATGGGGGAAGACTTTCTGTTCTGGGGTGGGACCAGAAGGTTCTGGGCAACTGTCTATGTCAGCAAGAGCTAAAGCCAGCCATACACTGAGAGCACAGGAAACAGTATGTCATGCCTTCCAAATGCACAAAGGCAGAGTGGGATAAAGCTCTTTTGCAAGTATGGCAATGCTCATTTTCTTTGGAGCTGAAGGAACTTATACCTTTGCATATTGCTTTAGACATGACCAAGCCAAATCCTCTTCTGAAACAGTGTGCCAGGCCTGCCCCTTGACTAGCAAGGCCTTAATCAAAATTTAAGATGAAACTGGGCCAAAATCCTTATGTGTGATCCTTGTGACAAAAAACCTGCCATCCTCCTAACACAAATATTAGCTGTTAACAACCCTGTGAGGTGAGGCATGCAATTACTGCTCTCCCCCATTTTACAGAATGGAAACTTAAAATGTCCCAAATATTCAAAAGTGACTAGGGTCTTGGGATGCCTCAGTTTTTGGGAGTCTCAGTTGAGATGCTTTAAACAAGCCTCATATCCCAAATGTGCTAAGCATCCACTCTTAATATTTCAGGCCATTCTACAGTGTCTTGAGCTGGAAACCACAAAGGCTGAGGTGTTAATATCTATCATTAACCACTTTGAAAATGTAGGCCTAGGAAACCTGCTTCCAATTGTAGAGCAAACTTGTGTCAAACGTAGAACTCAGGTCTCCCAAACTCCTGGTGTAGACTGCTTCCATGCACAACACAGAAAGCCACAGAAAGGTCACCACCAGCCTTATCACTGGTTTACTGATAACATTATACATCTCAGTAGCATGTTTATTACGTAAATGAGCCCAGTGGGATAATGGTAGAAACACAGGTCATGGAAATCTTTTCCTGCGTTTCAAATGATATTCCAGAATTATATTACAGGCTTCAAGGAGATTTCTTACAGGCTGCAATCCTCAGTGTTGTTTCATTCTTGCTGAGGAGAGAAATGGGGAAGACGTTAACCTGGCTGCTGGGTTTTGCTCATGTTTTCCTATTCCTCATGAATGGCTGAGTCATTTTCATATTTTGGTTTCCTTTCAAAGCTAAACTAAGAGCACCGTGCTGCTGCCATGTTCATAAGCCTGATTCACTATTGTCTTTACTCTAAGTTTAGGACTTCCAGCAGTATTAAATGAGTGCAAGACATGGGCAGGTCAAGGCCAATGCTTTTAAAAAGACAAGAATTCCTGTAATGTGCTGGCTCCCTTGGGGAAAACAAGCACATGTATTTATAAAAGCATTTGTGCTCTGCTGCACTCCAGACTAGGACCAGTCTGCCTTCAATTTCTGGTCAATATGGTATAACTGACTTGTTTCATTGAAGTCCTAGTACATAAAGCACAATGCCAGATATGAAAAGTTAGCGCTCTCTATGCTCAGTCATTCAACCCCCTTTTGCTTTACCAGAATTCAGAGCATAAATTATTTTAAAGTTTTCCTAGTCAATAGACTACTCAAAAACTTCATCTGCCTCTCTGGAGGTGCAACAATCAGAGGTGGTTTTGAGACAGCAAGCGATTAACACTAACTGCATCCCAAGAGGTGCCTGATGAATTATTTAAGAAAGTGCTGCTTGTCTTTTGAAAGGTGCACAATGTTTCCAACAGTTTAACACCATGTTTAGCACAGTATGTACTGTATGTTTAATCAACCTTAAACAGGGTAAATATGCACTTTTATAGACTATCTCTCTCTATATATATATATATGCATATAGTTAGTTAGTCTATAAAGGTGCATATCTACCCACCTTTTGACTGACTTCAGGCTAATAAGGCTAACCATCCCTCTAACCAATGCCATATGTCATTACAAGGTAATTCACCATCTGGACCAATTCAGTTTGGTAATACTGAGACCCCTATTCTAAAGAGGAGAGAGATCTCTAATTAAAATATGGTGAAAAATAAGTCTTTAATAAAAATCCAAGCTTTCTATTATGATGTAGGCTCTGATCTGTAAAAACTGGCCATGCATTTCAGTATTCACATTTGGGTAAGTTAATGTAGCAATACCTAAGTTCTACCTACATTTTTCAGGGAGCAGTAATCTTTAATATTTACACTAGAGAAAAATAATGAGGGCATGGGAAATGAAGTCCTTCCTCTCCCTTTCTTTATAAAGCAGATGTAATTTATTTCTCATTTTCTCAGCTTTGCTTTTTTGGAGTGGGGGAAGCTATTTTATTAATTTCTATCGCATTGTCTTTAACAAGAGGGACTTCATGTCCTACCTCTGTCTCTGAACCTATAAATATTAATCACAGAGCTAGTTATCTGAAACACTTTTTTTCTTCTTACCAATTTTCAAATGCCCTTTTTTCTGAATGGCTTTATTGCTTTACAGAAAAACAAATTATAAACATAGTGTAGAAAACCAGCAGAAATTCTTTCTTTAGCTTTAAAGTAAAGTCTTGTTAAAAATAATTAAAGAAGAAGTAAAAACAGTGATTCATTGTGGTTTGTTCACACATTGCAGATAACCCTCCTGCAATTGCAGGAGAGGCTGGAGTAGGTTAGCTATTCTCAGAGGTCTTTTCTATTTCCAGGGCCAGATCTTCAATGTTTGTTAATTGGAGCTGAATGAATTAACACACGCTGAGTATCCTTTGCCCATCCTGTACATGATTCTATGATAAATCTACTGCAGGTGTTTATACACTGTTGAACAAGTGAAAGCCAGTTTCAACCATCAGACTGCATGTGTGAAAAAACAAAGCATACAAAGACAAGTTGAATGGAAATGAAATGTGGCCTGCTTCTGAATTTTAAGACTTTCTCTACCAGCCTTATTTTATGCAGAAAATGCAGCCAGGCAGAACTAAATCAAATTGGTTTAATTCCCTCGAGGAAACATGAACAAAATTTCCCAGCAACTTTCTACCGTGGACATGCATGAGTAGGAATATGAATGGAATGTACAATCAGTGATCTACAAACCAGTAATAAAATTAATATTAGCCTTTTCCCGCTGCTTTAGGAGTGACTGGGCATTGCTAATTAAGTGCCAGGCACAGGGGGGGAAAGGAAATGGTAAAATAAAATAAACAAACTAGAAAATGGCTTAAGAACTTAGATTGTATATTCTCTTATTTTCTTCATAAGTGTGTACAACACTTAACAGACAGTGGCCCCAGTCCTTTACTGGGGTCTCCAGTGGCTGCTCCAATACTAATACTAGAAAATAAGGTCTGTTAGGCAAGAGCATTCAAACCTAACATGGATGGTTGACTCGAAGGCAGAAAGTGTTAAGAAAATGACACTCCAGAAACAATTATTTTGTAGACCTCAATTCTGGAAATGCTCTTAGAAGTCCTACTTACTTTTAAACCAGCAAGTCATTCCACAGAAGTCATGGGGACTTGCTCAAGAAATTAAGCAGGTGTTCGAGTGGTTGGCTTAGTTACAGTCTCAGGAAGAATTAAAACCTTTTCTAAGAAAAGACCAGTAGCATGAGGGGAAAAGTGCTAACTTTAGGGAAAATATAGCCAGCAGGATGAAAAAGGATCTGAATCTTAGTTAGTTTGGGCTAACTAAGACTACTTCAAAGGAATGAGGGGAGCCCATGAAAACTATGTAAGGGTTGAATCAAACAGAAAACCAACATTTTCCAATCTGAATCTCAGCTTCCAGATATAGACAAAGATACAAACGTTCAAACACATTTCACTGCTTTGTGAAATTGTGACTGTAATTAACATTGTAATGTTCCCTACATCTTTTTTGCTGAGAACAGCTACTATAATAGCTGGTCTACAACGGACAGAAAAGCATGAACCAAACAAATGAAAATGTCAAAGAAGGCAGAAGAGCTTATAAAAATATTTTATGTGAGATTCTCTCTGGCTCCAGCCAAACCCTGTATCCATCCTTAATTAACTATAATAAACATCTCTGAGCAAAGCCTCCTGGCGAGGGTGGGTTTCATTAATTGAAAATAAGCCAGTATTGAACACAAAAAATATATCCATGCAGTGGATTCCAGCACATGGTTCTGGATTTTAGGCCAACAGTAAAATATAGTAATTATGTCCCCTACTCCCTCGACTTCCCAATGACATTTTCAAAAGCTAGATTTCTATATCGTAATAGGACAACTGAGAAAAGCACTGAGAAATCTGAGCTAGGACATTCAGGAGCAATTTTTTTAAAACAAAAGTGAGCTAAATTTTTTTTTTTTTAATTAATTTTCCCCCATTTGCTATCATTGCCATCCTATATAAATTCTGTTATTTTCAGATTTTATAATGTTGCAAGCATCTACACCCATGTTGACGGCGGATCTCTCAATACAAAGTATGTGCAGCTTGGACCTATTCCTGTACACAAAGTATCCCATAAAGTTACCTGCACAGTGGAAATAATCCTGGAAGAATCCCTCCCCACATGATGCCACACACTGCCCATGCTTCATTAGCATAGATTCTTGGCATGATGTACATTCAAATCCACTGGTACAAGTCAGGCATGTTTCCTTGCAGGCTGTCCACACAAAACAAAGGAAAAAGATACTGCATTAGCTTCAGATGTTCCTGTACAATGATGCTGATGTGTATATGTTCAGGGGTGGATACAGGGTGGTGCAGTGGCGCAGTTGCAACCTTCCTTTAATACATGCTGCACTCAAACTTTAAAACCAACTGCCTGGCAGGGGCAGTGGCATTTCTATTCAGCCAGTGCTGAGACAGTCATTTGACTTCATGGCTGATTATCATCTCTCTGATTCCTGATATCATTTCTTCACTCCATAGGTATTAACAACCCATTTCTTCTTTTTAATGGTCTTGATGTTTCACTATTCAAACTATCCTTTCTTCTGCAATTTTGCTGTCTGTTAGTCCTTCCTATTAATGTCTCTCTTCTAGTTCACAGCCCTGGAGACTCTTTTCAGCTCTAGCTAAAAACCTCAAGTGTAGAAATGACTGATAGTGAAGTATTGAATGCACTGTCAAGACACCCAAGAAGGCTAAATTTTGAATCGGAATAAGAGACACGTATTTAACTATAATGACTACGGGACTAATCATACAGTATCTTTTGACTTATTTTGACTGTTTTTTGACTAGTGTGCTGTGTCTTTTTGAGCTTCATATATTATAAATTCATGGGCTCCACAGTTTAGAAAGGATGTGGAGAAGCTTGATGGTAGAGAACAAATTCCCTACCCTCTAACACACTAGAGGGTAGGGAATGAATCCAGGCCAATCTGGAAAGGTTGGAAAAGTGGGCAGAACATAATAGTATACAGTTCAATAAGGACAAGTACAAGGTGCTGGACCTAGGGAGAAGGAAATCACCAGCATACTTACAGGCTGGGGGAGGACCTTCTCAGCAGCACAGCAGCAGAAAGAGATCTCGGGAGTCATTGCTGACACCAAGATGAACACGAGTTGTCAATGTAATGAAGCAATCAGTAAAGCTAACCACACTTTATCATGCATTAGCAGGAGTATGAAGAACAGGTCCAGGGAGGTGATTCTTCCCCTCTATGCGGTATTAATCAGACCAGAGTTGGAGTATTGCATCCAGTTTTGTGTGCCATACTTCAAGAGGGATGTAGACAACCTCGAGAGGGTTCAAAGGAGGGCCACTCGTATGGTTAGGGGCCTGCAGGCAAAGCCCTACAAGGAGAGATTGAGGGCCCTGGATCTCTTCAGCCTCCACAAATTCATTGGTGGGGAAGGGGCAGCAATGAATAGGAGATGCTCTGTTTACCAGGGCACCCCTTGGAGTAACTAGGAACAACAGC